GCGCGCGGCCGGCCGCCCCGGGCGTCGCCCCGATCCCAGCGCGCAGCCCACGGCCCCAAGGGCGTGCGCGTCACCGCGCTGCTAGGAGACCGGAGGGGGTCGGGGATGGGCTCCGACAGAGGCCCGGGGCCTGGTCCCGCTCACCCACGCAGACCGGGGCCGCATCCGCTAGTGCTCGGGGCGGCAGCGCCCACGAGGCGCTGGGTAGAACTTCCGGTCGGACTTGTCCAGACGGTGGCCGGGGCGGAGCGGTACGGCGCGCCGGATCCACCTCTCCGGGTTTTGGGAAAGGCCGCGGCGCTCCGGCCGCGCGGCAGGGAAGGCGGAGCCACGTTGGGGAGGCGGAGTCTGGCTGGGAGCGGGCGGGGTTGTCGCAAGGAAGGGGCGGGGCCCGGGAAGCCCCGCGCCTTGCCACGCCCCCTCTCCTGTCTGGGCTGATGCTGCAAAACCCGCCCTAGCGGGCTTGGCTCGGGCCGAGTTGCGCTCCCGTAGGAAGATTCTACGTAGCCACGGGTGGCCTGCGAGAACGAGGGACCGCCCGGAAAGGAGGGCCTGACGCGGGGCACTGGCACACGTCCATAGTGAGAAGGTTACGGTAAAAGGGAAAGGGGGACCGCAACCGATCCTGCTTTTCCTCGGAGAAAAAATCATGTACTCCAGACCACAAAAAGATAAATCGGGTTCCTGGTCTCTGTAGAGTGTCATTTCTCTTTTTTGCCGGCTTCTGGAGTCCCGAGTCCCAAGACTAGTACTTGAGAAGTGAGGGGACATAGAAGGAAGGGGTCGATGTTCTAAGAAATATCCGGGTTTGGGTGGTGCCAGTGTTGCATAGAAAATGTTTGACCTGTTTCAGCCTAATATTTGATGAATATCAAAGTGATATATGTAAAACATTCCAAAGTTTTAAAGCACAATTAAAAAAACGAAAATCTGAATCCACCACTCTGCCAGCAATTAGCGCCTTCCAGGTGCCACCTCTTGCCTCTTAGGGAACCATTAGCCTGAATTTTGTTTATCCTACCCTTCTAGTTCTATAGTAATTGCATCCAAGCCTAAACAAAACATGCCTCCTTTACTGGCTTCTTGCTATCACACACGTTATGTTTACTACAATAGTAATAAAAAAAAATCTATCCAACCATTTTTTAACCACTCACTTCTGGCAATAACATCGCCAAGATACCAGGCCAGAGTAATGCTGACTGATGGGTGAGGTTAGGTGGCAAATTCACGATGGTTCAGCAGTTACGTAATGATGAGATCATTCTCCATTTTTGCCTACAGGTGATTTTCTCATAATAAACTTAATCGTGTATAGATAAGTGAGGAGTAAGTGTATTGCTTTTCTGGCTTCTGGATTTTATAAACATGTCACAATACAACGTGTGTGTGTGTGTGTGTGTGTGTGTGTGTGTGTAGCCTTCTGAGTTTCATTGTATCATTCAACACTTCTTTTTAAAAATTTTGTGCTGTTGTAAGTGTAACATAAAAACAGTTGTTTTCATTGATATTATATAGTGTGACTGCTACAATACTGCTATTCATTTCAGAGTAGGAAGGTGGAGGGATAGATGTCATGTGTGTCCCACAATGCCCAGCTCTCGATGTATATGGATGGTAGAGGAGAAAGCATGGTTAGAAATGTGCAGAATTAGAAAGCAGTCAGTACAAAATTCCATCAATTATCGGATTTGTAAAATGGTAAGCAGAGAATCAAATTCTGAACAATGCCTGTTGTTGTTAAGTGCCATTGAATTGGCTCCGACTCATAGCAACTTGAATGTACAACAGATTGAAACACTACCCAGTCCTGCACCATCCTTACAATTGTTGTTAACTCTGAGTCCATTGTCGCAGGCACTGTGTGGACTCATCCTCTTTTTTGCTGCCCTTCTACTTTACCAAGCATCATGTCCTGTTGCAGGGACTTGTCTCTCCTGATAACATGTCCAAAATACTTGAGATGGAATCTCACCATCCGTACTTAGAAGGAGCATTCTAGCTGTGCTTCTTTCAAGGCAGATAGTTTTGTCCTTCTGGCAGTCCACAGTACTTTCGATATTATTTGATAGCACCATCATTCAAATGCATCAATTCTTCTGTCTTTCTTATTCTATGTCCAACTTTCCCATGCATGCGAGGCAATTGAGAATATCATGGCTTGGATCAGGTGCCCCTTAGTCCTCAAAGTAGCATTCTTGCTTTTCAACACTTTAAAGAGGTCCTGTGCAGCACACTTACCTTACTGAATGCAGTGTGTCATGTGATCTCTGACTGCTGTTTCTGTGAGCACTCACCGTGAATCCAAGAAACTTGCAGAAGAAATCCGGAAGACTGCAACTTCAGTGTTCCCTCCGCTGATCATGCTGTTACCTAACGGTCCAGCTGTGAGGATTTGATTTACATTGAGCTGTCATCCATACTGAAGGCTGCAATTGTTGATCTTCATCAGCAAGTGCTTCAAATTCTTCTTACTTTCAGCAAAGTAGTGTCATCTGTGTATCAAAGGTTGTTAATAAGCTTTCCTCCAATCCTGATGCCACATTCTTCTAATGATCCAGCTTTGCTGATGATTTGCTCAGCATACAGGATAAATATGTATGGTGAGAGGGTACAACTCTGACACACATCTTTCTAGATTTTACACCTCGCAGTATTCCCGTGGTCTGTGCTTAAAACTGCCTCTTGATCCACGTACAGGTTTTACATGAGCACAGTATTCTGGAATCCCCATTTTTCTCAAGGCTACTCATTGTTTGCTATGGTCCACAGAGTAAAATGCCTTTGCATAGGCAACAAAGCACAAGCAAATATCTTTCTGGTATTCTCTGCTTTCAGCCAACATCCATCTGACATCACCAATGTTATCCTTTGGTTCATGTCCTCTTCTGAATCCAGCCTGAATTTCTGGCATCTCACTGGCAATGTATTGCCATAAATGTTGTTGGATGATCTTTAGTAA